TTCGGAACGAACCCCCCCTCCCCTCTCACCCCCCCTCCCCTCACTTCAGAGTTGACCAATCATCTACAAACTTTCCATACAGAAAAATACTGGAAAACATTTTCAGTGTACAAATCAGGAGGGATGACATTGGGGATTTGGGGGAAAATGACTGAGAAAAATGCGCAAAAGAAGAACTCTACCAATTTCAGTTTGTATTTTACAACATAGTCAACAGTCTAAAGCTTTATACAGCTTCCAATTCAGAATTTTATTACCGCACTCTTCACGGTTTACCAACTGACTTCTGAAATATAGACACACGGTAACCGGCTATGGGCGTATCCTAACATGAACCAAAATTAATCGAGGAGTTCGCCAAAGATCTACATCATAATCATCTATCTCCGGCAAGCCTCTCTTAGCGGTTCGCGGTCGGAACCGTCGTGCCGGTGAACTGCTGACAGTGGCACGGGCACATTCCTTTACGACGACTTTGACATCAAATTACTTTTCAGCAATTGCCGAAAACAGGTCTCTTATACCGGAAGTTCATTCATAAGATGAAGAACTATCAAACTAGCTTTGCTCGTTTTGATTTAATGACCCATTTATTTAATGACACTTTTGTTATTTTTAGATTTAGCACGAAAAAAAGGGCCCCGAGTAGTGGGTTTACCCCCCTCGGAGATAAAGAGTTAAACAACGTAACAGATTTAGAGCGTGAAGTTCAGGTCTTGAAAGTACAGAATACAAAGTGGCAACGCTAACACACAGAGTGCTTAAACAAGTTTCCAGAATACTGTCACTGTGATCAGCCACACCTACACTACTAATATCAGCCATGTGTCGACAGAAATAGGGCTTACGTCTAGAGTAGACACTCAAACAATCGGGCGAAGGGGGGAACTTAGCTCAAAATATACACAATACGATTAAAATCTTTGTGCTAAAAAAACAAATCTTGTCAGTCACATTTTCTGAGAAAGGAAACCTGTGCATACACCTCATCACTCCTCCTCTCCCTCCTTCTACCCCTCCTCACCCTCCCTCCTCCTCCCCCTAACCTCTTCTCCCCATCTTCTCTTTTCCCTCCTCTTCCTCCCCCTACCTCCTCGTTTTCTCCTCTTTTCCCTCCTCCTACCCCTCCCCTTCCTCCCCCTACCTCCTCTTTTCCCTCCTTCTCATCCTCTCTCCTCCTTCTCCTCTTTTCCCTACTCCTACCCCTCCTCTTCCTCACCCTAACCTCCTCCTCTTCCTTCCTCCTCCCCCCTACCTCCTCTTTTCCCTCTTTCTCCCTCCTTTTCCTCCTCCAACCTCCTCTCTATCCTCCTACTCCTACCTCCTCCTCTCTCTCCTCCTCCCTCCTCCTCATCCTCTCCCTCCTCCTCCAAACATTCCCCACTACTTGGAGGGGTTCTCCGTCTTGTCCTTCTTGCCGGACTGCGTCGGTCCCTTGTGTTTGTGCCTCATGTTGTGGAAGAGCCAGTCCACCTTGGTGGTCCACGAGTCCCCGTACGCGCTGTGGAACTGGTTCTGGAAGTACTCCTTGGCCTTCTCCTCCGACTTTTCCACCGCCAGCGTCTGGGGGGGGGACAACATTATGTTCCGTTTTAGTAATGTACGCCTTTTACGGCGCTTGCAACACAATTACGTCTCTCTTGTATGTGTCGAAGATTTGAAGTGTTACAAGAGAGTAACAAGCACTTACAAGAAGGAGGAGTGTTCAGTTTTAGTTTTAGTAAGCCTTTTACAGCACTTGCAACACAATTAAGTGGTCATATGACTTACTGAGTGCCAAGGATTCTAACGTTTTTTAAATAAGAGTTTTACGGCACTTGCAACACTATTAGTGGTCATATGACTGAGTGCCAAAGATTTGAAGTTGTTTTTATTTACAAAGAGTTTTTCGGCACTTTCAACACAAAAAGGTCATATAAGTGCCGAAAATTAGAGGTGTTACAAAAGAGTAACAAACACAAAAAAGGAGGAGAGATCAGGACGACAGATGTTTGATAGCAAAAAGAAGGAGCAAACCACACCAGAACACCCGCCAACCAACCACAAGATTTGAAGTGTTACAAGAGAGTAACAAGCACAAACAAGAAGGAGGATAAATTAGTTTTAGTTTTAGTAAGAGTTTTACGGCACTTGCAACACAATTAGGTCATGTATATGTGCCGAAGATTTCAAGTGCTACAAAAGAGTAACAAACACAAACAAGGAGGAGCGTTCAGTTTAAGTTTTAGTAAGAGTTTTACGGCACTTGCAACACAAAACGCTTCCTCTAGGAACTTCACATTTCGGAAGTATCATCAAATACAAGTAACACAGAAGAACAAATAGTACATCGTACATCACACAAAGCCCTTTCTCTCTAGGAACTTCACCTTTCGGATGTATCAAATACAAGAAACATATGACTGCACACAAAACTCTTCCTCTAGGAACTTCACCTTTCGGATGTAGCCAATACAAGAAACAGAGAAGAACAAATAGTACATAGTACAACACACAAAACCCTTTCTCTCTAACAACTTTACAGTCCGGAAGTATCAAATACAAGAAACAGAAAAGAACAGATAGTACATAGTACAACACATAAAGCCCTTTCTCTGTAAGAATTTTCCCCTTTCGGAAGTATCAAAAGCAAGAAACATATGACCACACACAAAACTCTTCCTCTAGGAACTTCACCTTTCGGACGTATCATCAAAAACAAGAAACAGAGAATAAACAAATAGTACATCGTACAACACACAAACGCTCTCTGTAAGAACTTCACCTTCCGGATGTATCCGATGTCATCCAGCGACTGCAGCTCGGGAATACCACACTGCAGCATCATGGTGAACAGGGTGATGAACAAGCTGGCGTGCTGCCGCAGGATCAGGTACGCGTTCAGACAAAGGTTCTGAAACCTGTCGGAAACACAATGGTATCCAAAAGAAACTTTTTAAAAATGTATTCACCCAATCACCACGTTAATGCCTTGCACTACCCACTCATGCACGCATGCTATTTTTTAAAGCGATATCAAAATTCTGCATCATCTGACACATTAATTTTTCATTTGCTAGTGCTTCCAACAAATTGCAATTTAGTGCTTTTAGAGGGTTAAGAATCGTATTTGGAAGCCAGTTTGAAGAGAATACCAACAACCCATAACACCTATATTTTTCTATCAAGATTATTGCTCAAACTCAAAGTAGAGAAATAACTTGAATGGCTCAAGTAGACCTGTCAGTGTGCGAGTTGTAAGAACTGAGGGAGTGGCAAGATGCAGTGAGACTGAAAATCTGCCAATCTAGAAGAGAACGCTAAAATATAATAATAATTTTAATAATCATAAAGATAGCATTTGTAGAGCGCAAATCCCCGCTCAACAGCAAGCTCTATGTGCTTCACAATCTATACTATTACTCCAGCAGACCCGAGAGCATTCTGAAACAAACTCAACTTCCTGGGAAGCATACAGTGCAAGCAGCCATTTATAGGAGCTAAAACACTAACATACTGACAAGATCTTTCGCTGTCTATGGCCGGGTACCCATTTCCACCTGGGTGAAGTGAGGAAAATTCCTTTCCAAAGGACACAACTGCAGGCCCGCAGCTCGAACCCCCGACCCCGCAACCTCACGATTACGAGTCCGGTAGCCTAACCACTTTCACCCATCCAATGAAACGCAAACACTTTAGTTCAATAACAAGGCTTACAAGGTATGGCAGATCCGGATTCCACACAAGGCCTGCACCAAAACGCGTTTCCAAGAGAGCTCTAATCAAAATTCTAAAACCTATTATCAAGCTCCCTTCAGCACCCCTGAGTGCATCTTTAAAAAAATTCCTCCCATTCCGGAATCATATTTTGCCATATAGTAAAAACCCATGCCATCAAAGGCAAAGGCATTTTGGGGAAAACCCAAAGAAACTGGTCGGCAAACATCGCTGATTCGGGCAAGCGAGATGTGGTGGCAATGAGTTAATAAGAAAGAAGGAACAAAGCACATTAGAGCATCTGCCAACCACCCTTGAAAAGCGGGTTTGGCAATATATTTTTTTTTTTTATAGTAGAGGGTTTTACGGCGCTCGCAAGTGTATAAGGTGATATGAACGCAAAGGGGTGGGTGTCAACAGAGAAGTCTTTACAGGGAATCAGACTTAAGACTGCTCACCTCTCTAGCTTCAACAGCACAAGGTCTGCTTCGACTATCACGGCACCCCGGGAATAGCAGGTCACAAGAGTGTGACAAACACACAAAAAGTAGAGGAAAATGACAATAGTAAGGATCAGGAAAGAAAAAGCAGCAGTTCCCTGTTGTAGATCAGGCACAGTTATGAGCGTGACATGACGAATCAGCCCACTTACAATTATACTATGCTTGAACGAGAAATGTCCCCCCCTTTGAGAATGGCCTAAAGACACTTCCGTCAGTGGCACCGCCCCGGGGGGTAAGGGTTTGGCAGTGAACAGGTTAAAATAAGTAACTCTTTATAGAACAACTTACTCCTTAAATCCCGGGTCTTTCTCCGGCCGACTGGCGCCCTTGGCGATGACCCTCTGGAAATCTTCTGTCAGGACAAAAGGCACTCGCTCTCGGTTGATACCAAATTTCTTCTTCTTGTGGTCCAAAAAGTGACCAAAATCAATGTGGAATACCTGAAATTAATAATAAATTACACTTTATTTATCTACAATAGCAAACATACGTAAATATAAATACATAATTATAAATACATACATACAAAAATACGTTATTAAAATACATACATTTATATATTCTGCGCAATTTACCGATCGGCGCAATCTTGCGCTGCGCATTTTAAAGATAGTATAATTGCGCAGCAATCTGAAGATTGCGTTAATATTTCATATTTTTGAAAAATGTTTCTTTTTAAAAAATTCATTTCCATCTTTATTCTTTTACTCACATCAAAGAACACTCACATATATTTTCAAAAGTATAAAAATATGAAAATTAAAATTAAAATAAACGTATGAAACTGAAGAGCCCACAAGAATGATACAATGCCAGGTATCAAACTCAAAGTTCACAAAGTACATTTAATTTATTTCATATTTTTGAAATTATTTTTTTTAAATTCACTTCCATTCATATCTTTTACTCACAGCAAGGAACATTCACGTATATTTTCAACAGTGTAAAAATATGAAAATTAAAATTAAGATATGAAACTGAAGAGCTCACAAGAATGATACAATTATACGATTGTTAAAACACGCAGGGCAATCAATACTAAGATTGCCGCGCAATTGATTGTGTTGATTGGTAAAATTGCGCGAAACATATGCACGATACTACACCAATTAGGAACAATTTCACAAACATGCCATTGCTGGTCGCCATTATATACAGTCAATCAACCTTGCTCTAACAGCCACTCGTACAAGAAAATAACCTGTACAAACAACCACTTCCCACTTCCCTCCTTCCGTGTTCTTTGTTTTTTAAGGCAATGAAATGTTCCGCACGACCACCTGTCTAAGACAACCACTTTTCTCCTTGACAATGGATGGCCCTTCTCATACAATTTCAAATATGTACTCTTATGTGACAATATAAACGTTCAACGAAAGAGCTTACGTTTTCATGCTCTGAAACAATTTATTAAAAACAATACTAAACAATACTAAAATCCCAACAAGTAGAGATACATATATCTCATTATTAAGCTTCACCAAAGAACAAACTTGGAACTAACCCAGTTTCGTGTGAATATAGAAATA